GGGGAAGTATTTGTTTTTTAAAGTATTAAGCTAAATAATAAAAAGCTTGTAATGTTAAATTATGTTAAATACGGTTAGCATAAATAAACCACTAAGCAGACTATTGCATTATTATATAACTTAGATGAAATTTTATTTGATAATAAATAATTTTATGCTTGAATTAAAAAAGAGAGAAGAAAAAGAAACTAATGTATATTTCTTTATCCCTCTGAAGCAACTGATGAATGTTGTGCAGTCAGTTAATAAAATTAACACTACATTCAGCAACCATTTGAGTGCTTATAGGGACCTACCTACCAAAGTTGAAACTGTAAATGATGCCATTGTGTGGATAATTAATGATACACACACACAAAATGTGAGTTTATAATTTTTATAATTTTTTTAATTTATCCCCTCTTTTGTATTTGTATTTCTGTTTATTGATATCTAGCTCATGTATAATAATTGACATGCATGTTGTCTTTTTCTTATTTCTCATGTGTGTGCATCTTGTATATTAATATTGTTATAATAACTTTTCCTGCATTCCCCCCCTCCCCTGGTGTCACAGTATATAAGCAGCAATATAGCATGCCTTGTGCTTTTTATGTCAAACTGAATATCTATTGAATTGAATTTTAAATTTGAGAAACAAATTTATACACAATTCTTTTAAAAACTGTTGTAAAATTGTATTTAAAATCATTACTTTAGCGTGATTTTTTAAAATTTAGAATATTAAATTAATTTCAGATAAAATGAGCCAGTTTTTCTTTTGCAAGATGTACTAATTAAGAAATACAGCTTTTGAAGAAATTCTAATAAAAATGATATACTTTTATTATATGTGCATAATACTGAGTTTTAAATTGAAACACTTTTATAAATATACTAAGTCTGATTATTAATTGTTAAACTAATTGTACAGCTAGTGTTTACATTGTCTTGAAAAAGAAATATGTTTTATACATTTTGGCAATATTTTTATATTTTAATTAATATAAACAAATTGATGCCTCAGTGTAATATTAAATATTTGACTCACTTAAAATTTTACAAGGGTTTGGTAAAGCATTATTTCAACATGAGTTAAATTATCAATAACATTGAGAATCGAATTTTCCTTTACCACTAGAATCATTGGATCTTTACCACTAGAATCACTGGATCTTTAGGCATATATTCATTTACTCTTAAAATTTATTTTTCAATAAACATTATCATATATGGATATTAGAGGGTTTAAAAATGTTATTTCAGTTGTTGAACTGGGTTGTATGCCTTCGCTATCTTACTTCATAATTAAATTTTCTTTGGTTGCATTAATAGTCGGCAACTCTCTGTTTTCATTGTTGAACAATAAGCAGTGTTTTAACCTTGGTGTTCCCTGTCCCCAGAAAGAGCTGTAACACTAAAGTGATTTATTTACATTACATTTTTATCAAAACAGTTACCTTTCTTTAATGGTTGCATATTTTTAATAGTGTTGGTTTGGGTTGTGCATTTCTGCTGATATTAAGCCTTTGGAAGTGGTTTTATTAGAGATTCTCAGTTTATCTGGCCAAGTGCGGCTTTTGCACAACCCATAAATGGTATTATACAACAAAGTGTTTCACCAAATTTTCATAAAGAATTTGCCACAATTTTCAAACAGTGTGTCTAAAAATATATATAGTGTATAGGATTCTGCAATAATATTAATTGTAAAATTGCAAGACATTTGCACCTTTTCAAGGTAAACAACGAGGCTGTAGCTTGTCACATTGCTCTGCTTTTAATAGCTTTTAAAACTTGAGTAGTGGGACTGGCAGTTATATATTTGGTATGTGAATCTCCATCGTCCTGAGCATTATTTTGAAGAAAACTATTTTTATAGCCATTTCATCACATATTGTTTACCAAAAGCTTTTTCCTTGCTGATCATTTTATTTTTTGAAATAATTAATTGTAGAATACACCCATGGAAGAGCTACTAGCAGTTCTGTTTTTTCATCACATCACTTGGCCTTCTGGTAGATCACCAAATCTCCCCTTCTTTTTTTTAAGCCCTTAAGTATAAATTTTATTTGATCTGTGCTAATTTACTGTAGATATTTGTAGAACTTTTAGTAAAGATTTAGTACATTACTAAGTTTATTCATACAATAATATATGTATTGATTATTAATTTATTTTCTCATAGTATTTAAAAATACTTTAATAAGTAAGTTTTCCTTCTCTACTCAGGATTTTCCAAGTGTAAGAAAATTACAAAATGTACTAATTTACTATTTTTTAAAATTTACTAAATCTAATTAAATATTAATATATTTTACATCCAAGTTATGTATAATAATTCTGTAATCCAAGTTATGCATTATAAAATTAATTTATGTCAGTTTGGAGTTCTTTGAAATTGCTTCACCAAGGGAGTGTGAAAAACTTCCTAGTTTTTCATATTTCAGAGTTGGAAGGCATGCCACAGAATTAAAAAAATTATCTGACATTTTTTATGTAACTCATTCGAGTGAGGAAATGGTATTAATTTTCCTTCAGGTGATTGTAGTTTGCCCAGATTTCGCCATAAACATATCCTTTAATGTCTCATCTCCTACTCTTTAGAAAAAATTATTTTTGTTAGCAATAGTGATTTGGTAATATTAATATCATTGTTTGATTTTTCTTCCTGTTTTGGAGGCTTTTTTTTTTTTTTAACAAGATTTTGTGAACCAGGGTTAGAGATGTATGTGCAGATCACTAATGGGATCACTCTATGAACTTCTAACAAATAGTCTAACTTCTGTGTGTTTTTAGGGAGGAGGGAGATCAGTTGTTTATCAAACCTTTCTGGCAGTTTTTCTTATGTACCACATTTTCGTCAGTTGTCAAGATTCAGGTATCTTTGAATATGGTGTTTACAATTACCAGTATGCTATTGAATGGCTTATGCAGATCATAAACACGACATGTCTCTTATTTTTTTAGAAGATATTATGAGAAATGTGTATGTAAACAGTATAAATATTATGACAGATTTTCTCCATCTGTCATTAAGGTTAAAATATTTTTTAATCCAAAACTTTTATCTAAATTTTATCACGAGAAAATTTGTAAAAAGTCTTTTTAAATCTGTTTGTTATTTTCATAGCTGTTATTAATTAGTAATTTATATCCTTCTCGCTAACTCTTTCTTGTTTATTCTTTTTACCCTTTTCATGTGGAGGTCTTAGTAATTCTGTATCTGTGATGATTGTATTGACCTAGTCATGTTTGCAGGTCAAAAGAGAAGAAACCAGAACAGTGCAGGAATTCAGTTGATGTAATATCTGTAAAAAGCTGTTTTCTGAGTGTTATTTAATTGAGATATTATTTTTAAACTAAACATATTCTGAGCATTTAAAAATGTGATGTGTCCTCTATTTGATTATCTATTATGATTTAAAGTAATATATCATGCTTGGGAGGGAAATTCATATTTAAAATCAATTTAACCATTCAGTTTTACAATATTCTATTTCGCCACAGATTTAGAATACAGTAAAGATAGGCTCTGAAGTATTAGATAACAGTGTAAAATCAGTATATATTTTAAAACCTATGGGATTGTCTTGATGTATATGTGAGGAAACACTTCCATTTGGGCTTCAGTTAATCATTTCTTAAACATAATTTCGTTTAGTCATCTATATAAAGAATTCCAATTTCCATATAAGAATTTAAATATTCTGTAATGAGTGAATTATTATAAAAAATTTCAATAACCAAAGTCTTCAAAATAATCGCCAATCCAAAAGCTAAAAGTACGTTGAGAAATGCGAGAGTATTAAACATTAGGTGAGATATTTATGCAGGAAAATCAGAAATATAAATATTCTTTTGGAATGGAAAGAAGATGTAAATATGTCTAAATAAATTGCATTTTAAATGATAGATACCTAAAAAGAATTGGCTTGTCGATTCTACTTAAAAGGCTAATATGTGCATGTTTTATGCATCCTGAGGTCACCAAGGGTTATATGTTTAGTGTCTAAGCCAGAAGCATTTAATTAAGAAAGTATGAAGTGTCCAGTGAAATTTGCATGATTATATAGGGCTTAGTATGGAAAAGTAATTCAGAAGTGAAATTGGAAGATTGAGAGCCTTGTGTTTCTAAAAACACTGAAATATTTATGTGCTAGTTATTTCCTTATTTGAGTGAGATTCAACTTATTACTAAATGTGTGAAAGGAGGATTTGTTCTTAAAAAAGATAATGGACTTGTGAAAACTAAGGATGAAAGATAATATTTTTTTTTTATCAATTAACCTTTTGACGAAACTTTCCATTTACTCTTTTTCTTCAAAGTTTAAAGTACTTTCTTAGGATATTCAAATAGTTATAAAATCTGTAGTAGAGATGTTAATTCAAATTTGATGATACAGTACACTCCCAGTTTACCAATTTATCATGAACCAGAGTTGGCATCCATGGTTGAATTAGAACCACCGTAATCTGAGGACATTTAAAAAAATACTGAGGAATAACTGACATTTATAATTAACAGAAAAAATATAATTAATAATTTATGTGCAATTTCAAGCAGTTTAATCTTGAAAGTAGTCCCCCCCCCTTCGTTTTTCATATTAAATCTGCAAGTTAAAACAAAAATTGTACTTTACAAATAACAAACTAATTTGAAATTAGGAAACTAAGATATAAATAGCATTAGAAAATTTGAATAATGTTATTTAGTTAAATTTATGCTAAACTATTGTTTTGTGATAGACAAACTTAATTTTCAGAAGAGAAGCAAAGCCCATTTAATCCAGCTTGATAAATCAGGAGTTGACTATAATTGTTTTGAAATTATTATCCATGATTAACTGATTTGGATTTGATGTCTGTGTGAAGCAAGACCAATTGGGAAAGCAATCATTTGCTAGTTGGCAAGATTTTTTTTCTTCTCCCTCAAAACATTTTTTTAAATTTGATGCAATTTAAGTTTATCATTCTGAAGACAAATTTTTAGTGAAGAGAAGATTATAATGCTGAACTTCTTACATATTTTTGTGTAACTCACAGTTTTAAATTCATTTGTATTTCATTAATCAATATGCAGCTTGCTAAGAAATGGTAATTTTGTAAGTGGCTGAATTATGATTTTTGAAATAAATATTGTATTCAAATATTTGTTCATTTTTCCCCAGTCTCAAATGCTTGCTCTGGAAAATTTTATTTACACAAATCTGACAATGCGTTTGGAACAGTTAGAATCTGAAAAAGGGAACTTGTTGAAGAAAACTGGAGTTCCTGATTTAGAGGATTATCTGAACAAAACAGTGAGTAATTTCTAGAATTTTTATTTATTTATTGTTTGATTTATTTTAGTATTTTTAATTAATAGTATATGTACATGAATTCTTATACAATACATTTTCATTTGTAGTTTTTTAGAATTCTAAATTTCATTTATTTAAATGAGTATTAGATCTTGCATTAAGTGTTGAATTCTAACTCACAATATGAATGTTTCCACACATAAAGTTTCCTTCCAAAAGTTATAAATTTACAAGGACAAATAATTTCATTCTAGCAACCCCCTGATTTTCTGATGAATTGAAAAGTGAACATGTAACTCACTGTGGTATTAACTGCATGAGAATGAGGGAATAAAAAAGTAGAGAATAAATCCAACTTTAAAGTTGTATATGCAGAGACTAGGCAATGAGAAAAAGTGGATCAATTATTTTATTGCTTTATCACAACTCGACTTTGCACAGCAGTGAGAAGTAAAGCTCACGAAATAAATCAACTCATGAAAAGAATCAGAAATTTTACTGTATAGTGTTTCGGGTAAAATTTGAATCTTAAAAAATTTTCGTTTGAACCTGAAAGAAGGGTTCTTGTGTCATTTCCATTTAATTTATTTCTTCTTTTTGAATCAAAATATTTAGGAAGGGAGAATCTGTTCTGAGCATTTTTGTATATTTGTAGTAGAAATGAAATTATTTTTTTTTGGAGGGGGGGATATCAAGTTAAACTTAGATAATTCTTTTTCAAAGTGTATCGTATCATATACTATACTGAATATATTTTCAGCTTATTTATTCATTTATTTAATTTGAAAGTTATTAATAATTTTTATCTGTAAAATAGTGAATTAGTTAGTTGATGTGGTGTGTATTGAAAATACCGCAAAGCACACTAGGGCTATCTGCCTAAGGGAAGGGATGCCTTCGTGGAGGCCTTTCTAAGAGAAACTGGCTTGTATACACGTTACACATGGGGAAAACCACGAAAACGCCCATGTTCAGCCAGCCCCCTGTTACGTTTTAGCCTCGACTGCTGGTAGGCCGAATTAGTTAGTTGATTTTTCAAGTTAAGTGTTTATACAAATAACCAGTTTGTAAAAATTACAGAGCCAAGTAATTTACCCATGCTTTCCTGCTTTATGTTGAAATAATTATCTTGTATCAGAATTCCTAATGCTGGTTCAATGATCATGTGATTCATCAGATGTAAAATTTCAGAAGATCTTCAGATTTATTATATTAGAACATTTTACTGTGGGTACTTTCTAAAATCCCTTACAAAAAGTCGCCAACTCGTTAATGACTTTGTAAACTGATTGTCTTTATTGTTCATAGGTGCACTTCTGTTCATAAGTAGTAATAAAAAGAATCTTATAAGAGATCAGAAATTTTATTAGGAAAAAACATACACTGCTGATTTTCCATTGTTAGAGCCAATGAGTATTCTTCAGATATGGCAAATATGTTCAGTATTAAATATTTAATGATTCATTTAGGAATACAATTTCAGCTTTCATTTGCATAAATCAATATCATTATCCTTGGTGAATTATGTGCTTTCAATAAAAATACTATTTGAAATATTGGATTTAAATAGGTGAACAAATAACACATTTTTCACAATTATTTTGACTAGAAAATTTTTAAATGAGAGTCGGGTATGAGTTTTTGACATCAGCTATGAAATACTTTACTTTTCCAAGAAGTAACTTATTGTTGAATCAAGGGGGGGGGATAATGAGAAAGTACCTTCTGTTTTGAAATTTTCATTTTATATATTTTAGCAAAATTCATTAATATGATATTTCTTACAGGTTTCTGATGTTATTGTTCATTTGATAAATGAGGGTGTATTCCACAATGATATTCAAAATACTAATGATAATCCACTGCACTCTCTAGAACAGACACATGATGTGTTGGTGCTACTTGCTGCTCTCTTGAAAAAGGTTTGTTTTTTTTCTGATGTAAGACATGTTCCTTTAATTAAACAGTTATGAATTTGAAATTATATGCGACATAATTTTTATTTATTTATCTGCTGTTTCTCTGCAATTTTTTTGTAATCCATTACAGTGTGATTGATCGATATATTTTTTATCTTCCAGTATTTACTTTTCCTCTTTCACCCTTTTATGAAGCTGCTTACTTGTTATTTATAGGTACATAGTACACATGTACACTGCACCAAAAAAAAATTCTAATTTTTTGCAGGTATGCTTAGAAATACATCTACTTTTAAGATGATGGTAAAAATTTTGTAGCTTACAATTCAAAAATGTTTTTGAAAAATTTATAAAAATTCTTTAAAAATACAAATTTTAAAAATAAATCATGAAAAATTGGGTGAATTTTATTTGGAATGAACCTAAATTTCGAAATGTGAAAGAATCAAATATCTTTAATAAAAAAAGGGACATGAATCAATATATACCAAACTCAATTAACATTGAGGAGCTAAATTTTTAAAAACTACTCATGCAATTTTTACAAAACTTGGTAGTTTGGTATAATTTGAGTCGTAGAATGGAAATAGAAAAAAAAAAAAAAATTGCCATGTTATTTCAGGAAAAGTCCAATTTTGTGTCAAAATACCAAATCTGATACATATCCTAAGTTGTGCTTTCGAGAGATGAAAAACTCAAGTTGAATTTCGTCAATCGGCCCAGTAGAACGGGAGATATAGAACTGTCTTTTTTTTTCTTTTTGTGCAGTGTACAAACCTGTTTGCACTATTGAATTTTCTAGATACATTTTTTAAAAAATAACCTTGATGCAGTATTAGATTATGCAGAAAGCATATGCTCATGAATATGAAGAAACTGAATCTGATAATTGAGAATATCCATTTGTACTACTAAATTTCTTAAACAGATTTTCTGGGAAATAAACTTATGTGATATTGGACATCACCAAAGATGATGTTAATCATATTTGCACGTCAAATAACTTGTTATTTGGATACAAGTATTTTTAAAAAGATTCTTTTGGGTGACAATCCCCTCCTCCAACTCCCCATTTTAAGCTGTACTTTCTTTATATCCGATATGTTGTGTTTACTACAACTTTTCTAGCAAAAAATATTGTTGCATCCTTTTGAAGTATTTTATCTCAATATCCTAACATTTATATATCTGAATTAGCAGTGAAGTAGGATCAGTAAAAATGAAATATTAATAATAATGCAATAAATACAGGTTCTGTGTATCCAGCACTAGCAAAAAGATGCCATTTAAGGTAAATTAATATTTATGAAACATACTAATAAAAATTTTAGAATGTTAATGTAACAAAATAATGTATCTTCTTGATCATATACTTATTTATTAAACTACAAAGAAGATAATAGAAATTAATAGGAAAAGTTACTGTGCTTGAAGCCTCAAGATCTTATCCTAAAATTCATGAATTTTTTTAATGACTTTTTTTCAGACTGCGATATTATTTTGCTTACACCTCCTCACAATTGTCATGCATACTATCTTTTTCTCAGCAGTGTGTGTGTGTGTGTGTGATTATTGCAAAGCCTCGAGGGCTATCTGCCAAAGGGGAGGGATGCCTTCGTGGAGGACTTTCTAAGGGAAACTGGCTCGTATACCCGTTACACATGAAGAAAACCACGAAAATGCCCATGCAGCCAGCCCGTTCGCGGGATTCGAACCTCGGACCGAACTACCAGTGTTCAGCGACTTTACCGCTCGGCCGCTGGTGGGCAGTAAAGTGTTAGAATTTGACACTAATTAATTATATTTTGTTAATCAATGGGGACAAAGCAAAATGTAAGCTAAATTATCATTACTTTAAAAAAGTATTATGTTCAAGGTTTTACATAACTATCAAACTTAGGTAAAGATATTGAAAGTTCCAATGTAGTAGAATGGGCAGAATGAAAATTTTGCACATCTTTCTGGAGTGGCAATTTATTGGATCAAGATATTATTCAGTGCAAAGAGCTCTGTGTGTAAAGTAATGTTACAGTGCCCTAATTGGGGGGTGGGGATCAGATTAGATGATTAGCCGAATTTTATTCTTTGAAGTAATTTTCATGGCATTAATTAGTCTTCTAAGGAAATATTATCTAATTTCTCTTTGGGGAAAATAATTGTGATGATCCATGTCCTTTTTTGAATTTTCTGGAGAATTAATGGATTTTTTACTATACAAGATCTATCTGTAATTAAAATAGTTCAAGAACAAATAGTGAAAGCATCATGTGGTTTTGCGTTTCTGAAAGAGAAAATCATCAAGTTTTATCTCCAACATACACAAATAAATAAATAAGCACTTCACTGACATATCAACATACATTTATGTATATTTCTTGGGTTGCTCAACAAACGTCAAGGTGGTACCCAATTAACTTTTAAGTGTTCTGAAGTAATTTAAGGCACATAGTTGCAGTGACAATACTTTCGGAAAGATTATCCAAACCTTGCATAAGCGTTGTAATGAAAATTACCCCACAAAAAAAAAAAAAAAAAAAAAAAAAACTGTTGATGTTGAATGAGTTGTTATATTTGAAGTGCTTTATTTTTATTAATTTCTCGTATCCAGTGTATGTATGGCAAATTCAACATATGCAAATAAGTTTATCACCTATACAGTGTAACTTCTGAATTTCGAGCCCATGTAGCTAGATGTAGCTATAGTCACTTGTTTACTTTTCTTATTTACGTTAGTAGATTCTAAGATCAAACAGAAACGATACAACAAAACAACCCTGTCTCGTACCAATGCTTTTAACACTGTGCTTATTTTTTGTATAAAAGCAAATCAAATTCAGTTATCTTGCTAAAACAGTTCACAGTACCAAGATCTAATTCATTTATCTTCCTGTATGTGTAGTGTACACCGTACAAACACAAAAGGGGGAGAATACTTTTATCATTTCCCGCTCACGTTTACCTATCAACATACTGGGACTGATTGGACGAAATTTCACTTGCATCATTTTCATTCTCAAGAAAGTTCGACTTAGGATATGTGATCCACAAGATTTATATACAAAACAAGCATTGTTCTAAATATAGAGGTATTTTTACACAAATCTGATTTTTTTCATGAAATACATCCAAACCCGTTTTTTTTTCTATGACCGCTCATATATAACCGGTACGCCAGGATACATACATCGCACCTACTTTCCACTGAACACAAGACATGTTTAAATAAAAAAATCGCACAATTACACATTGCACCGCTTTTAGCGCCAGGATACATAACTCGCACTACGATACAACCGAGCTCTCTAAGTACTTTAGACTACCACAGAAACTAATCTCAGGACCGCACTAACGTCTACTACAAACACTTACAAACAAATTCTATCTCCGCTCCAATATTAAATTGAATTCAGCTCACTGCTACACTGATATTAAACTCGCTCAACTAATTTACTTGATTCTTCTTTCAGATATTCCAAAATTTAGGTTCATTTCAAATCACATTCGACGTTTACACAAATTTTTACTCTAATGATTTATTTACACAAAAATTTCATATGGGTATTTTTAAATACTTTCTTAAATAAATTTTTTGAAAATAAATTCATTTGAATTTAATCTATAAAATGACATTTATAACCAATCCGCTCCTATACTGAAAGCAGATGTATTTCTAGCATACCTGCAAACAAAACTTAGTTTTTCAGTAGTTACAATACATAAATGCTCTCCGCGAGATATGTTACAATAACGTGAATTTAATATTGGCGGGGTTTTGAAATTATGGCAGTATCAATTGTTAAAAACGTGATAATAACTACACAATGTGAGGTTTCAACCTTATCCAACGCAAACAACATTGCTTGACAATTTGAACATGTGCACGCGTGCTTGTATTCCGCTTCTTAACGACTCTCCCGTTATTTTTAACACCAGTTTTGGCTCCGAAAAATGACAGAAATGAGTGAACGTTGATAATAAATTTTGTTACGAAATAAAATATTCATCTGTTATGCCAAATACAAATTATAGTCACATATCAAATACGGTAAATTAATTTTTACGTTTCTTCTGTTAGTGAGATGGTAAATGCAATGATGCTTGTATACACAATGTTTTAAATTTATTATTTAAATAATTCATATTTTAAATCAAAGCTACTTTTAATCGTCATCAGAGACCAACGCAACACGTAATATATAGCATAACTATCACCACAAAGGAAAACACCATTGGTAGTAGGCGAATAGTAAGGTTTAAGCGATTACTTCTAGCTTCTCTAAAATAAATGTACTTCTACTGAGCTTACGACCGCCACTAAACACACACGTTCCCACGAACCATAATCAACAACACTTACCACTTTTTACAACAAATCATTTTTTAGTTTATCATTCCTGCATCTAAAAATAACAAACTAGCACAACGGAGAAAATAATATCCACCTTACGAATTTACACAGGAAATCATCTAAGCAAAATTGTTCATCAACAACCACACCAAACAAAACATTACAACAATACATTCAACCCCGCTCTAAGCGCCCCCCCCAGGATACATAACCTCGCACCTACGTTACCACAACCCGCTCTAATAGTCATAAACCAAAGAGATAGACCTATAAGCCGGAGCCCTCCGGCAATCCTCACAGTTCCTTCGTCTTGGTAGTGAAGTTCCTGATACTGTATTCCAGGAAAGCAACCAGATCCGAAGCCCGGCCCACAGACGCCGTGGACACCAGGAGCCGGGAGGACCAGAGATCCAGGCCAGCAAAGACCCACCCCCATCAGCCCCTGCCTCAGAATAGCTACGCACCCTCGCTTTGATCTACCGGGGGTCAACATCTCAGAGGTTTCCGCACTAACGCCTTACGATCGTACACCTTACACCGCTCTATTCGGTTCTTCATCATATAATTCCCTTGAAGAATCCTAGCACAACCAACGATCACAACGATAAATCCGCACGGTTAGCCATATTTTTTTTTTTGCCATGAAACCATATAAAATTTACAGAAGACGTTTTACAAAATGACATATATTCAAATTAAAAATACACTGCTTGTCATAAAACGCCAGGATACATAAACTGCCGCACATCACGATTACATAATAAACACAACACAAAACTAACAAAAATGAAAGATTACTTAGAGAAAAAAATCTTCCTTGCACTCTATTTCTCCGAATTCTGAACACAGCCACGACAGCATAACATCGCCGTCCTGCGCCTACGTTACGTAACTTGTTACGAAAAAGCTCGCGACGTAACCACGCAACAGCCCAATGTAAAAAAAGAAGTCGAGTCTGCTCTAACGTCAGGATACATAAACTTCGCATTACGTTACAAACAAAATACACAAACAACACCAACCGCCTACCGCCACAGCTAAATCCCGCCCCAACTACTTTACGCCGCTCTAACACGCCACGAAACTAAATCCACACTAGTTACACCGCTTCTATATCCACCCCCACGAAGACGATAATAAATCCCGCACGCATTACTGAAAAAAATTACTGAATCATTGTCTAATAACCCACTCTATTTTCACTACCTAACGCCAAGAAGCATAAATCCGCACACTCGTTACAACCGCTCCGAACGCACGAAACATAATCCGCACTACGGTTACTACTTCTCTCCTGACACGCACGATAACAGAAACTGACTACTTTACACCGCGTCTATCTCCTCCACTACCCGCCACGATAGAATAAATCGCACTACGTTACACACAACACCAATTCAACCACTACCGCTCTAACTCCTCCTAAATACGCAACGAAGCATAAATCCGCACTAACACGTTAACAATCACATCCGCTCTAACTCGCCACGAAACATAAATCCGCGTACGGTAGGAGGTCCTACGTTCATTCGCTCGTTAAAGATTATTTGGCAACTAGGAATTGAAATGTACTTTTTTTCTGCTCTTCCACGAAACATAAACTCGAACTACGCTTACACATGGAAGAGAAAGGAAACATAGATCAGGCCACAATATTAAGAGTTCACCAACTTGAATATACTTCTTGGGCTCAAACTTACAAATATTAACATAGCCAGATACAAAATTTTTATACATTGAATTTAGACCATGCTCTAAAATCCGCACCACGCCCGAGGAAATATTACACCATTTAACTTAATATTTCGACGCATAATCTTGAAGTCACTTAGAAATCCGTGAATATACAATGGAAACCATTTATATGCCTTATTTCATAAAAATCTGAATATTGTTCAAAATAAACCCTATGATTAGAAACTTGCTAGTATAGAAAGCTATTTATATATCACAGTCGGCGGTAACGCACGAAGCTTCCTGATCGCCTATCCCGCACGTACGTTTTTAAACCGCTCGACGCTTCAGGAGACATAACACTCGTGCACTACTAACAACACATCGAGACCATAACACATCGCTTTGACTAGCACGTAGTTACGATAAATCCGTTTCGCCGTCACACTTGTGGCCCCGTATACCGGAAGATATGCATGACACCTCCGCTCGAACGCGCGTAAGCATTCCTGATCGCCACTTCGCCACTACGTTCCATACATACATTTTTAAAACACTCAAAACAATCCCTGTACACTCAACACACCGCTCGACCAAAAAAACGCTCAGGTATACATACTCTTGAAAAAGACACATACTATAGCCCATCTCTCGGCTCTTATTGTGTATTGTTGAATCAAGATTAGAAAAGCCTATTATTTACACTGATGGACTTTTTGGCTCAAAGACTGGATCCAGGATCCAGTTAGTCACACGTTGATATATAGTTCATGCTGACTAACCACGTTCACACAAACACAAAATGGAGGATACACAAAATCAGTGGAATAAAGCACAACTAAGATACATCCGGATAACCAAAAGACAACATACTGAACACTGCAATGCTCTAAACTCCACGAAGCAAAATCGCACTACGTTACGGTGTAAATTTGTTGATTACGACATGTTCGTCATGTTGATACACTGATAAGAGATATAAAGAAGATTTAGACGTGTTATTGACCCGCATCTATGGTTTTCAAAACGTCAGGATACATAATTCGCACTAACCTATTAAGCAAAAATTTAATGGAAAGCAAATCCTGCTTTAATGCCAGGATACATGCAAATCTGCAATGCGAACTTATCGATATAGTGAGCAACCTGCTCTATATCCGATGAAATTGCTTAGATGAATTTTATCCCACGTAAGCATAATCCGGACTGACCACTTTTAACCCACTTTACCATAGGCAGACTACCTTGAACGAACGGGCACGAATACACTTAACAAACTCCGCACTACATGCTGTTAGCAAGTAACCGCTCTAGAAGTCAACGATCCACGAGAATAATCCTCACTATTCAGTCAGTTCTAAACGTCAGCCACAGTATGTTTCGAAAACGGAGAGTAAGAAAAGGAAAAAAAGAAAAGTGTGGATAAGGAGAGAGAAAAAGAGGAGACAGGTATGGCAAGAAGTAAAAGAGGAGAGGAAAGAAAGGGATAGAAAGCTGATGGAGGGGGGGGTAAAAAAAGAGATGAAAGAGGACACGAGTGAAGTAAAAGGAAAGGAAGAGGAATGCAGGCAGGAAGGGAAATGAAGAGGATAGGAATGGAGAAGCGTATGGCGAAGGTGGAGAGAAACGGAAAGGGGTTAGGGCGAAAGGCGAGGATAGGAGAAAGAAGGGGAATGGACCGAGAAGAAGATGGGTAGGCCAATGCCAGACAAAGGAAAGCATTACGGTAAGAAAACGGGATGGGTGGAATAAGAGGGACATCGAAGAGAGCCGGGACATATGTAATGAGAAGGAGACTAATCACACAGGGAAGGGGGGAGGTAAAAGAGACAGAGTGGGCGAAGAAATGAGCTGGGAGCGGAGAAGGGAGGGAGAGGCAGGAAAGGACGTATGGCAAAAGAGTGGAGGGAGTGAGAGGGAAAAATAGGAAAGGACAATGGTTGCACCGAAAGGAGTATAGGGGGGAGAAAGAGAAAATGTAAAAAAGGGGGGGGGGGGAATTAGAAAGCAGAAGTGCAAAGGGAAAAGGAGAACCGGAAAAGCTTACGTGTAACTCATCTTTCAAGCAAATGGAATGTATAGCAAATGTCACATGAGAGGTTGTGTTCCAGTACGATGCCTTCAGAAAGTAGGTACATAGTGCTATCGACAAAGAGGAACCAGTGAGGTACTGATGTAGCAAATGAGTTACTTTCTGCTACTGGCAAGTGAATTTCTTGAAAAACTGTAACCAGATGTTTGCATCAAGATTTACTATATGCCTGCCGTCCTGTTGTGCACATTCTATTGTCCTACATGTAACTATTCTACCCATTTGCAATGGTGTCGTCAGCATCACAATTGGAGGGAAGACTACCGGGCTTGTGTACTGTTCTTAGATTAGAGTAGATTCAGTCTGTCATCAGATTGTAGATGCCAGTTAGACTGGCATTAGAGTGATACTGCATACAGTCCGGTAAACATACAGGGAAAAGGGGCCGATATCCTAGTGTCATCGTATGAGCTGGGATCATGGTCCATGGCCATACGTCGCTCTATGTAATTCAAACTGAGACTATAACTGACCAACGATACATTTATGATGTTTCGCAGCGTCATGTTTGCATGTTCTGTGGGTGATAAATTTGTTTTCATGGATGGCAGTTCAGCATGTCATTGAACAGTTGCTGTCCTGAAGTGCCTTAGTGTGAGGATATTCAATGTCTCATATGGCCAGCATGTTCTCCAGATCTGTATCCCATTGAAAATGTTTGGTACCCCAACAGCTGTCTAAAGCATGGCACGGAATTTTGCATCACCCTTCATGGTTGCTATATCCCAAATCGGCATCTTATGCCAGAATACTGCAGAATTGCATTTTATTTTTTTCCACTTTTACATAGAGCACAAAATGACCATTTTGTCCTTTGAACACTCTTTAAAGTCTTTTGGATTTCAGAATGCAATAAATTATATTTATTGTTATGTCCTAGTATTCTAACATTATTTTATTTAATTTGGCATCCTACCACATGTTTTAATGCACTATATAACTGTTTGTGATCCATCCTTAGTGGTTGTCCTCCAGTGTATTACAGAAGTTAGTATCATTTGCTGCTAACATTCATAGTTATTTATTTATAGGAATGCAGATCATAAAATTTACAAATTTTTCATTTGAAATTAATCTATACTTTTGCGTGTATTATAGTGCTGTCTTTTAAAAGTTTTGAATTTATGTGGGAAACATTTAAAAATTTATTTGTTCACATCTTTTCAGATATTGAGCTTCAGCTTTTATGCACCATGGTTTGCCTGTGCGATAAGCAAATACCAGTACTCAATAGTTATAGATTCATAAAAATGGTAGTTATGGAGATTTTCTGGCATTAAAAATGTGAAACATAATAAAGAAGGGAAATTAAATTACCCAAAATTCCAATTCCAGTGAGTTTTGTTTTCTGCTTATATTCAAATGCACTTGTGTAAAATGTAACGGCCAAATTAACATGGGTAATCTTACTGCTGAAGGTTTTGTAAGCAATGTGTTTGTTTATTTATTTTCCTTAAGAGCATAGCAAATATTTTGAAAGTAATTTCCACAGTAGTTACATGTTTCCTCATCCCCAACACACACATACACAAAATGTATATTTACAAATTTTTTTTTATTTCCTCAAAAATGTGTTTATCATTTATCCCTTTTTCTCTGTTACAATTTTCCCTTATTTTCACGTTATTTAATTTGCTATTTTTACTTAAAATTTTGGTTAAATGATTCACAAAAAAAAAAAAAAAGAGTACATTCTGCTTAATCTCAAATTAACCCCAACAAAATTTAAAGTCAACTTGTAACCTGTTAAACCCTATGTAGTTAAGTGTATGCATTATTAGATTTCTACTATAGTTGCTTGCTGAAATGTATAATTGAATGTTATCTATGGTATATAAGTGATGATTGTATTTTTCAGTTCGAGCAAATTCCTAAAACTTACATTCTGAGTTACAAGAATGGAACAGAACTTGTCAAAAGTATGTTACGCCAGGCATTTGATGAAATGATAGCAAACAGAGATTTGAAAATTAAGGTATTATAAAATATATATGAATGCATATATATGTATGTATATCTGGTTGTAACGAAAGTTTTCCGCCAAAAAAAATTCTTAATAAAGTTAGAAAAAAAGCATGAAAGCAGAACTTTTAGTACGGATTGTAATCACCCTCCAAATCTATGATTTTCTGCCAATATTTTGGTAGTTTTTCAAAACCTTCAATTCAAAACCTTCAATCCAAGGACAATATGGTGGGTGTGGCAAAAGATCCCATTCAAGTCATACAGAGTCCAGCCGGTGAAGGCAGACACATGTGGTCTTGTATTATTTTGATGGAAAGTTACCTTTTTGTGCCGGAACTCAGTTTGATGTTTTTCCTTAATAGTATCAACACAGACTAGCATCTCACCGTACATCTTACTATCGAAGATTTCACGTTTTCAGATTCTTTTAGGGCTAATACCAATAATTCCACAGATACAAAGATATCCTTTTTGTTAGTCAAATGCCTTTGAAGCTTCCGATAGGCTCACCGACATATATCACTCCTCTTCTGCTGTGTTGAAGTATATCACTTTCATACAAGTGATGATCTGGTCCAGAATTTGTCCCGTGATATTGATTGAAATTCGGTGTAAGGCAGCCCGAAAACGCGGTACTTATGCGTGAGTCCATAATGTGGCCTCAGCAACGAACTGTACATCAATTTATATGATGCATGTGCGATAATGACACAGCACTATGTCACGCTTGGTAAGATATTGGTGGCGCAACTGATCTTCCACAAGGTTCAATGCAGGTCTCATCAAATAGTAGGCCGGCGGAGCGCTCGCTTCTGGATGTAATAGTTTTGTTTTTGAACATTTTTCACCAACCATTCACAATTCCATATGATACAACATTAATACCTAAAGCTGTGTACATAATTTGGTGACATTCTGTAGCTAACTTTTTGCAACAGAACTGGAAGTAAATGATGGTTCTAATCTGGTAATGTGATAGTTAGAGCAGACACCTTTTTTCTTAATGATAATGATATATATTTTTTTTTTTTACAGATTTCATAACACAGTGTTCTAAAGCAAGACTTTTTTCTTTCAATTGCCAAAAATGCTTTGACAAAATATGATTAAACATGCCAATATGAATTGTTTGCACAGACGATATTTGCAATGGCGGGAAACTTCCTTAAAACCTGATATGTATGTGTGTATACACACCATTATATACATTGCTATACATATCATTAAAAAGCTGATGGTACTTTAGATGGACATTTAACATTATATGTTCTGTTAATTTTTTAGGCAATGGAAGGAGAAATAAAAAACCTTTCTATCTATATTCCTGATGGTCAGAACAAAGAAGGTAAGTTAAGATGTGTGAAATATTATCTCTTTGCTGAGAGAAAAGGCATGGCATGAGATTTACTGTTCTTTATTTCATTTTGTTGTGAACACGTCTAAATCTTATGCATCAGTGTCTTTATTTATTATTATTTTGCTGCAAACTAGAATAAAAGTGTGTGACTTGAATCACAAAGCTGTCTTTAATTTTTTGTTCATTTTTGATATCAAGTGTGATAAACTTTTCATAATCATTTTTCTAAAAGAGCCTCTTTACCTGTGACTCGATATTTTGTGAGAGGTCTTTGAATTTTATCACAGAAATGTAAGATAATCAATTATAGTTACTCTTGGATTTTAGAAGCACCTGTAACAAATGGCCTTCTATACGGCATCTGTCATTTTCTTCATGCATGCTTCTAGTTTTTTATGTGTTAACTTCTCATGTTGAATTGTTTATCGTGATGATATTCCATTGGCCTTTTTTAAATCTGTATTTCATTTATAAACATGCATTGTATTTTATATTTGCCAGCAGCTGGAAAATATGCTGTTTTCTCAAGAAAAGGAATTTTAGCATGCACTAAGCTTTGTGAGAACAATCTTCATCCACTAATCTTACATAGTATAGTGCAATGAAACAATTTCTAACAAAGAAGAGCATCTGTTGCACAAACTGGTTTAATAGATCTTTTTTTTTTTTTTTTTCCTGTTATTGCTGGAATATACGGCATCAATTAAGGGGTGTGAGGAACAAATTAATAATATACAGCTCTTGATTAGAATAACTTTTATGGGGGACATTTTTGCGAAACATCTCATTGGACATATCAAAGACTGAATTGGAGGGCCCTATAAAATTGTCCAAGTCGACAAAAATCCCTTTGTATTTAGTTAAAACAATGTCAAAAGTTTTACCTAAGAAGGTGGGTGTACAGGGACTTAGCCACAGCTTAAAGTTCCTTATAGAGATGCCAGAAAACTTTTGCAAGTCGTTTGGAATCCTATCCTGTTAAATTATTTGATGGAAGTATAAGGCCTGAGAAATTTGTTTTGAAACTTTTCCTGCTGCAATTTCAGATTTGCACCTGCCATTAATTTCTTATGCTTAAATTGGACTGTATTTGATGAATGGATTGCCCAAAGTATCTAATTATTTTATTGAAAAAAGTATGTATTGAAAAAATTATGAAAAGATTTCTTTTACTGTTAAAGTACTCAATAAATTGGAGTGGTGCCACCCAGATAGTATGGTGATTAGGGCAGCCGACTGTGATACTGAAGAGCCCGGGTTTTAATCCTGGAGAAAGCATGGTTGTAACTCTTTGTCCCTTCATAGGAGGTAATGGTGGCCGCCTATTAGTTGCCTTTACAATAAGATAGCCACCACTTGTGCCCTTAGAAGTGGCCAATGTTGAAAAAAGACAAGAGCCCATCGTTTTTAAAAAAAAAAAAAAAGATTGGAGAGGTATTTGAGTTTTTTAATGCTTTGCCCATAGAAATGGCTAATAATAAGCACTTAGTGTGCTGATTGTAAAATGGCATTGAGAATTATTAAATTATATCATGTGACTGCACTAAGTCCTATGTTTCCATGCCTGGACACATTGCCTTATTTATTCCCTCCATGTACTTCAGTGACATTAAAAAAAAAATTTAAATAACACAATCACTGTATCTTAGCAGTAATTTTTAATATTGTAAGTTTTTTTGTTTTTATATGTAATTTATTCGAAACAATACTGGCACATGCTGTTTCCACTTCCATTCTTGGAATTCCACTACTGTTTTCCTTTTAGATTTCTCCTGAATTTAATAACTGACTGTGTTGTAGACTGAAGATTGTACTGCAAAAAATAAATAATTTTTAATGAATCTTTTGTTGTAGCATGCTGAGTGATGATTTAGAGTCTCCCTAAGTATAAAATGAGCAAAGTTAGATTAAAAGTGAGGATATTGAATTCTAAAAGTATTTAATGAATTTTGTACACATATGTATTTGAAGGAAAAAGTGTTGTATTATTTTCCAAATTTTTCAACTAGTTGTAGAAGCTTAGAGCTAGCAATCAACTAACTTTAGAAGTATTTGTTAAATGGGAAGTCTCAAAAACTATAATGTTAGATTTTCTGTAAAATACTCCAGAATGACATTGTATTAGACCTTTTTTCCTCCATATTAAAAATTGTTAGCAGTCTGTCTATATAGTCCATACTTTAACCATTTTTGTAGAGAAATAGAATGTTGAATTAATAATAAAAATTCCTTTCTAGCTTCTTCATCAATACGAACAGTTATAATATATTTTGTTGAAATAAATAATAATTGCAATTTTTTTTCCAGTTACAAATTTATGTGGCTATTTATTTAAATTTTTCAATCTAGAGTAGTACATTTTAATTACTTATGTAAATACTGCATATTTTATTTCATAAACTGGAATTCTAATAAGTTGGCATTTCCTCATTTGTAGCTAATAAACATGAAGATGAAGATGATTCAAGTAACTTCACTACACCAGTATTTGTTGAATCCTCATCTTATTCAAGGAACAGTAAGTTTGTATTTTGTATATTCTAACTTAGATCTAAATTATGTGGATGTATGAAGAAATTTAGGTATTGAAATGTATTTTGTTATAAAGTTGTGCAATAAATATGTAAAAGAAAGAAATATTTAAACTTCATATTGATATTCAGTTAATAGTTTTAAATATTCATCATATAATTTAATATAATACATATAATTTAAATCAACAGTGGCATTCCATTAAAAATGGTGTATAAAGTTTTATATATGCATAACACAGCATAGAAATGTACGTTAATTAAAAAAAAAAGCTGAAATCTGTAACATAATTGTTATTATGTTCATTTCAGAAATTGCTGTCTGAAAATTTGTTTATAAAATGTGTATAGTATCATTAGAAATACATGATTGCTAACAAGTATCGAAATCAACATCAACTTATTGCGATTCTCCTAGAATATTGTAGACTCACTCACATCTGAAGGGCCAATTTAGAAAGGGAAATACCATTAACTATCCTCCCTTTTTTTTTTTTTTTTTTTTTTTTTTTTTAATTTATTGATTTGTGGACTTGATGATAAATAAAAATTAGAGCTGAAGTTGATGATCCATTCATTAAATGCCCCGGTTTCAAAATTTAGTTCTTCATGTCACTTTTAAAAACCTTGTATTATTACTTCTTTCATTGCTTCTATTCTGTGAGTAAAGTGGCAAGGTAGACATTGCAAAAGAAGGAAGCAGTGAATTTAAAAAACAGCTGCAAAATAATAACAGTTTCATTAGGAGAAAAATAGCTAAATTCTTAAGATGTGACTTACCTTTGATTTTTGGCATAACCCTATAAAAAATATCACCAGGAGTTGAAAAGCTTATCATTTTCTAGATATGCAAACTCTTTGGATTTAAAGTATAAAATGTATTTTTAAAATGATATTTATTTCAAATCTTTGAGAAAGATGATATTTTATGTGACACTGTATGCAATAACTTAGCACTGAAGTGTGAAGTTCTAAGTTTCGGCTGAGACTTTGAAAATGTGACACTGTGAACAAGGTAACCGTGTGTGTGCTTGTGTAAAGAATGCTTGGAAAATTGTTTTTATTTCTTCTATAAAGCATAATGTGTGTAACAATAATAATTGTTCTTAGTAATATCTATGTCTAAAAATCAGGGAGAGCACTTTTAATGCTTTCATATTTTTGCGTATTAAAGGAAAGAAAGTAAAGCAATTAAATCTGTGTCCAATTTTTTACATATTAAGCAAAGCATTAAATGAATAAAGAAAAAATTATCATGATGGGGTCTGTCAACTTATGAATTGTAATACTGTTAGAGTAAAGTGGCAAGGTAGACATAGCAAAAGAAGGAAGCAGTGAATTTAAAAAATAGCTGCAAAATAATAACAGTTTCATTAGGAGAAAAATAGCTAAATTCCAATTTTTTACATATTATTATGTATATACTCTATCCTGATTTACTGAAGCACAAGGAAATTATAAATTTCCTTGTGCTTCAGTAAATGAGGATAGAGTCTCTTAAAAAAAAAAAAAAAAAAAAAAGCTAGATAGAGGGTGTATGCTCATAAGTAGATTAATATTAATCGAAATATAAATTATATGTTAAAGCTTATTGTTGCGAAAGGGGGTTTTATTCTAAGGTGAAGCTTCAACCGTATTACACTCCCCACCTGAACTCGTAGAGTTCACACAATTAAGCGGAATAACAAATAAATCCAAATAAAATGAAAACACTTACAATTACTTACTGTAACAAATTAAAAAGAAAAAATCCTCTTGAACATCTACTACAATATAAAATTAATCAATTAAACATAAGAAATTACTGAATAATCAATAAGTTCAAAATGTTTTCATCAAATGTTGAAAAAATCAACAGTTCAATCAATATTTCTCAGGTTGGTTCACAACTTCCAAAGGATATAAGAGTTGTATGGGTCTCTTAATTTGTCCTTTGGACGTCTTAATTAAACAAGAACGAACATGTTGATCTCGTTCATCCCATAACAGTTTGGACTTTGTAAACCCTTCCAAAAGAACGACATCTCCAACTTTTAATTCTTACTTGGGTTAGTAGTATCTAAATGGTGAGCCGTTCTCAAGTCAAGTAGATATTGTTTCCTTCCATCTTTTCCAGAGATGATCTAAAAGTGTAGTTTGGTACACTCGTCTTATCATCAGATAACTTCTATTTGAATTCTTGTCAATCATCTCGATAAAATGAAGTAGATAATTATGATTTTTTTCGACCAAAGTTGAGAAAGTGTGCTGGTGTGATAGGCTGTGGTTCTTCCAAGTCATTGTAAGTGTAAGTTAAAGGTCTTTGATTTATAACATATTCAACTTCTGTCAAAATAGTAGTCATTTCTTCAAAATGTAATAGGGCCTTTCCAAGTATTTTTCTTAAAATGTCCTTCACAGACTTCACTAAACATTCGTAGAAACCTCTCCACCATGCAGCACATTCTGCAATAAATTTCCAGCTTATCTTCTTACAGGCAATAAAATCTTGAAATTTGGAATCCTTCAGTATTTTTGAAAAATGCTCGAATTGCCGGTTTACCTTTTGAAAGGTTTTGGCATTATCAGAGTAAATTCTGTCACGATGTCCTCGTCTTGATACAAATCATCTAAAAGCCATCAAATAATTTTATGTTGTCATTCTGGAGACTAGCCCTAAATGAAGGGCTGTGGTAATGGCACAGGTGAAAAGAACTATGTACAATTTCTCAGTTCCGGTTGCTGATCTAACCCAAATTGGACCTGCGAAGTCCATTCCTGAAACACGAAATGGTGGAGTCTGAACTATTCTCTCTTTTGGCAGCTGTGCAGTCATCTGTTGAGCAGGTTTTGCTGTATACTTTCTATAAATAAGACAGTTTCTAAGTATCTTCTTCACAAGCTGTCGGCCTTTTGGTATCCAGTATTATTTTCGAAGGTTGATCAAAGTGGCTGTAACTTCATTAAACATGAACTTGTTATGTTCTCTTTCAATAATCAGTTCCGTAAATTTTTAATTTCGAGGTTAGAGGATAGGATGTTTTTCTTTGGTGCTGAAATCGGAGAATTGTAATCTTCCTTCAAGTCAAAATTCTAAAGACTGTAAAAGCCAGGGTGGTCCAAAGTTGGCAGTTTCTTAAATTAGCAACAGTAGTTCCTCGTGATATGAGGTTGGAGGGGTTATCTTTCCCATGTCAATAATGCCAATTATTGCTTTCAGTTAGTTTCTGAATTTCATAAATTCTGTTTTTGACGAAAGGTTTAAATCTTTTTGGAGATCCATGAATCCAAAAATAAGTTATTTGAGAATAAGTCCATTGGAAAGGGATTACACCGTATTTTAAACATTTTGTGATTTTATTACTCAATCTGGTGGATAAAGCACACCCAAGAGCTCCAATCTAGGAAGTGTAACTGATTTCAGAGGTGCAACTCTACTCTTGGAAGCAACAAAAACTGTTTGAAAAGTTCCATTGTTCAAACCTTAGATATACCATACATCCATAAGCTTTCAAACTAGCATCAGAAAAGCTATAGTGTTCTATTTGTTTCACATCTACATTTGATATTCCCTGTAAATAGTAGCAGGGAATCCTGATGTGGTTCAGTTCTTCAATTTCTTCGTACCAGGCTTTCCATTTATAACTAAGATCAGGTGGCAGTTCATCGCCCCAATCAATTTTGGCAGACCAGATTTCCTGAATCAGACACTTTATTCTTATAGTGAAAGGGCCATAAAATCCGACAGGATCAAAAATATGACCTGCGGTTTGTAATAGAAAACATTTTGAGTTAATTGACAAGGAAATGAAATTTGTCAAGTGCTGAGTGTCAAAATAAAAATTATCATTTTCAGTATCTCAGTTAATTCCTAACACTTTGATCGGGACAACTTCAGGAGATTCTTGTATCGAAATTTCTTTTTGATGCCAAATGTTTTTTTGAGTTAGTATGCCACTTATGTAGTGACATGCTAGCTTAATTAAAAATGTTCACAATTTCTAAACTTGTTTTCAGGGCTTGTTCTAAATTTTGTTGACCAGCAATAATGACATCAACATACAGGCAGTTGTTTAAGAGTTCTACTGTTTCAGGATATATTTCTGAATATTTTTAAGGTGATGCATAATGGTAGCAGCTAGCAGAAAAGGACTAGATTTTATACTCCAAACAAAACTCTTGTAAATCTAAAGGTTTTCAAATTTTCATTGCTATCATCAGAATCTTCTGCCCAAAAGAATTGTATAACATCTCTGTCTTCTTCATTTAACTCAATCTGTAAAATTGCTTGTGTAATTTCAGCTGTAAAGGCTAGCCTATTTTGTCTATATCAATAAATCAAAAATATCAGGATATAGCTTCGGACCAGTATATAAACAATCGTTTAGAGAAAGTCTCCTTGGTTTATGGGCTGAAGCATCATAAACTATTCTTAGTCTGCTTGTTGCTCTATCATTTCTGATGACTGCTCTCTGGGGTAAATAAAATAGGGTCTTATCATTTTGATTGTCTTCCTGAACTGGTTCAATAATATGTTTTAACTCGTAATCCTTTAAAACCTCTATGTATTGAATGAACAAACAAAGGGTTATCAATTTTAAATTTGTTACTTAATTTAAGATAATAGGGATTAGAGTGCTATATCCCTATTATCTTCCATTAAATGTTTTGAATTTGTTTTCCAAGGTAATTTTACTTGTTATCTGTCATTTTTATACTTGATATCAGATTCGAAAGATTTCATAATTTCTAAACGAACAGTTTTGCCGTTTTGAGTGTCACTTTTTAAACCTAAGTTTTCTAGCTTCCAAAACTGTTGTAATTGATCTGATATCAAGTTTTCATTTACTATTACTTTCATAGTTAATAATTCACTATGATCATTATTTACTTTACCCTGCAAACACCACCCAAATAAAGATTCTGTAGCTACTATATTTCTTGAAATTTATTTAATTTTACCAGTAATTATAGAATAGTAGAAATCTACCCCTATGAGAATATCAATTTTGTCACTTTGTGTACAACAGTCTGCTAATTGTAAATTTTGTAAAACTTTATTTTCTTTAGCAAAGTTCAAATCTGGAGGGGAGATAACAGTATTGGATATATTTTTGGTTTGAAGAAACTCAATAGATATATTAAGATTGGGATCACTAGCATTTTCTAGTTTTGCTTTAACAACATTAAAGGGTTTTTCTAACGCAGTTTTATATCCAAATGAATAAACAGATTCTTTTCTAACAATTGGAAACTCCATTTTACTAGATACATCTTTAGTTATGAAAGATCTCATTGAGCCATTTTCAAAAAGAATTCTCACATTTTAAGATTTATCATTATTTTGAATCAATGCAAAGCAGTTTGTAATAATATTTTATTAGATCTATTTTCATAGAATTATATGACGAAACTGTTGAAATAATGCTCGAATCTGACATTTTCTTTTCAAGTTTATCATTATCTTTTTTCTGATGGAATAAATAACAAATGGCTTTTGAGTGTTTATTATAGCAGAAGGCACAGTCCTTCATCATATTTATGCTTATTGGGTACCATAACTTTGAAAAAAACTTTAAAAAGACATATTCAATCCATAACTTTAAAAAAGACATATTCAAGATTAAAAATTGGCAGTGGTGACCAATAATCACCTCTTAAGTTCATAGAGTTAAGTAATTCAGACACATCTTGAAATCTGATCTGTAAAGAAATACTCTACTACTAGAGACTTTAACTTAATCTACTATGCTAGAATTCCTCCAAAAATGTATTTCTCATATAAATTTTTCAATTATTGAATATACTGTGAGGGAAAAAAAAAACTTTAATGAATCCATTAGAGTTTTTTCCCACATTTAATGAATTTGTTTCAAGAGTTTGTTTTGAAAAATTTATGTAATTTATTTATGTATTAAATTTTTCAATTATTGAATATACTATGAGGGAAAAAAACTTTAATGAATCCATTAGAGTTTTTTCCCACATTTAATGAATTTGTTTCAAGAGTTTGTTTTGAAAAAATTATGTATAGCATAAATAATAATTATTTTGTTACTTTCTTTCTTAGATGATTAATGGATGACCGTGAGGAACAAAGGTGTAGTCAACTTGTTTTGGCTTGTGTCCACATTTTTGAATTTTAGTACAGCTTTCATTGCATAACAGCAATCTTTTGTCCGTAGAAAAGCTTCTGTAGTATTGTAGAAAAAAATATAACCATGAGTTGAAGAGGCTTGTCTTTTCCTAGATGTGCAAAATTTAGATTAGAAGCATGAAATGTGTTCTTAAAATCATGTTTATTTATCATGCTTTCAGATTTCTAAAATATCGCTCATCTTGTTATAAAAATAAGTGTGCCAAAGATGTGAAAAGTTGTTATATTTTTAACTGCTATGTAAAAAAGCTAAATGATTTTATGTACTGAAGGATATTTCAGCAAGTTATTTTTCAGTATTAATGAAAATTTCACCCTCTAAGCAGATTTAAGCACATACCTTTTGGTCCTGAAAATTGATTGTTTTATTCTTTCTAGCATATACCATCATATTTTTTAAATGTTTTTAGTAGACGAGTTCGGATTTATGAGTTACAAGTATTAGTATCTGATGCTCATTTTATTTCATATTGATTTCTAATTGTGGTTTGTATTTCAAATGCATGCGATTAGAAATATTCTTTAAACATTTTAATATTTTTTCTTGGTTTTATAAATATATCTTCTCCATTTGCTAATTATCCTGCACTACTTTATAAAGAAAATAATTACTGAAATCAGTATTTATTATTACAAATTTTATCAAATAGAAAAATTTTAGTGGAGGTGGAAAAATCCAAAATTTCTCTTGAATTTTACATGTAAGAAAATAATAACTTACTTAATAATTAATAATTAAAAAAATTCAAATCTACACTTAATGAAAAAGAAATTTAACAATATAATTTTTTAAATGAAGTTCATTTTCTCAATATAATGTGACAAAAAAATGTTTGAATTGCAGTTCATTTTTTTACATTTTCAGAATGTTATAAAATTAAAGCAAATGCAAAAGGAAGGGGATTATTTTAAGAATTAATAAAGCTAAATATATGGTGATAAATTCTATCCAGAAAATTTAAAGTATGACATTCAGATTTCAATGAGATGATATGAGTGATTCAAATCTGCTGAAAATGCAAGAGTCAGACTCCCCCCCCCTTTTTTTTTTTTTTTTTTTTAATGAACACTTCTCCTGGAGATGTTGAACTTTCCCAAGCTTTGTGCTGATACTCTTCGCCCTTCTCTAAATGAGAGATGAAAAGATTTTTAATGACAAAAAAATCACAAAAATTCAAGTTTTTGAGTCCCAGGTCTTTTGTAAGGTTCATAGATTCAAATGTCTTAGCCATGAAGTTTAATTATAAGTTGCTGAAATATCATATTTTAAATTAAAGCGAAAACATTCAGTACTCCTTTTGTCATTATTTTTCAGTTTGCTGTATTTAAGCTTAAAATATTTTTAACATCCAGTTTGATTTAGCTTAAATAAAAATATGAATTTCAATCTTCAGACTGGGAAATGTCCCCTTTCCTAATAATAATGAAGTACAGAAAATTCAATTTGAATGGAAAAGAGTGAGGTTCCTTGCTTCTTTGCTCATGGTTACATATTATAGACCCTGTAAATTTGAAATTTCTGTAAAATTATATGTGGGTAGTATTTTCCACTGATAATCAACGCTCATCCATAATTTATCATCCCAGTGAATGTTTGCATAAGAGGAATCCTGCCATTTTATGTCACTTCATGGTACATAAAATATTTAATATTGTATGTGATGTAAATATAAATTTCTTTTGTATTCTTTGTTGAACATAAGATTTTTATGCTGATGTTTAGCTGACTATCTTTCAATTTCAAAGACAGCATGCTCTTGTGTTATGATGTTATTTTGTTCCTTGTGTGTCTTACTTCTCAAATGTCGTCTGAGAAGTTAATGATTGTCTCTTGCTCACCTTCCTTGCTCATAAGCATTATTTTCTGAGTGGCTACAAACTCTTGTCATCATTGTTACTTAATTAGTAGTGATTTGTTCCAATTATGGGTATTGTAAAAATCTTAATGCTGAAGTAGCTTAATCAGAAAAATTGCATTTATCATTAAACTAAATAACAGAAAGCATATTTTTAAAAAGTATTTTTAAAAAATTAGATTTTTAAAATTATTTTGTTAATTATGAGGTCTCTTACCATAGTTTTAATATAATCAAATAAAATGATATCTTAAGTATTACAAAAGATGTATAGAATTTGTGTTATTGCTGTAGTTTATTCTTTTGTATTATTTGCCATTACGGAGAAAAATGTATAAATTATTTATTGTTCAAGTGACATGAAGTCGAATAATTTTTTGTAATGTAATTAGTTATCCTATAATTATTTCTAAGAATTATTAAAGAAGAAACATGCAAAATATTTCAATGTTATTTTTCCAATTTACTAAAGTGTATTTTACCATTTCTGATTTTAAATCATATTTATGAAAATTATCTTAATTTTCATAGTAATAATATGCTAAAACAAAGAGATTGAATTTTCAATGGTAATAATAATAATAATAATTGAATAAGTTATTTCTGTTGCATTTTAAACAGCTGTTGTAAATAAGCATTTTCACCTTTGCACCGTCCAAATAATTAAAGTTCTTAATAATTACATGAAATTTCATTACAGCTTGCATAGTCAGAATATTGGCATTTAAGTGTTACTCATCTAATTCCAGTTATCAAAGAAATTTTTCTGAAGACTGCAATAATCTGCTGTAAATGCAGTATCAGTGGCACAATAATGTTCTCTTTTAAATCATTTTCATCATATATTTGGTGTGAAAATTAGATATTTTGAAAAGGAGAGTTGCAGTAAAATAGGAATATTGCATGTAAAAATTATTAGCCTGCATTTTTAACATTATGTTGTAAATTGTTTTATTCACAATGAATCGCAGCTTTGTACTTATTTGTAGGTATTTTGTAAAATTGCAGAGAAAATTTGTATGCTGTTTTCTGTATGGACGATTTAAGATTTTATTTTATTTATTTATTTTTTATGTGACTTGTAATTTTGATTTTTAGTATTTTTGAAAATGAATTAATAGAAAATCTACAAGACATTAATTAAAATTATATGTGTCGATTATCTACAAAATACATATACATTTCTGAAAGTTATTTTGTATAATTTATTTTTCCTTAAATATGATTGAATGAAAATTTTCGATTGTATGTTTCTTAAAAAAGCCAACCCTTTATGATGTATCTCTATTTATGAATTCTTTTTGCAAAATGTGCAATGTGTGATAACTTTACTGTTGTTTCAGAAGTATGTATATGATGTTTACTTTTCTTCATAAGTATTTTCACTTTCAATAATTTCAGTGACATAATTCATATATATTTATTTTGATTACATTGTAAAAGCTGTCATTTGTATGTTAGATTGTACATAATGAAACTAGTCTTATTGTTGTGTTTGTATGTTCAATCTTGATAAAAATTTTGAGGACATAAAATTTGATACCTTTTTTATATTTTAGAAAATAAATCTTTATGCAAGATTATTAATTTTAGAAAATAAATCTTTAAGCAAGGTTATTAATTTTATGACCAAAATCAGGTAGTTTTTCATTTTTAAGAAATGTTTTATTTTAATGTAATATATTTCAATTGTGTTTTAATTAATTTAACTCTGTTTTTCCCCCTTCAAAATAAATTTTTTAATTATTTTTATTTTTCAAAATGTATTAAAAATTGAAAAAAATTGGTCTTCTGGTTATGTTTTATGTAAATGTTATCTTTATTCAAGTACTGTATTGGCTGAATAATAAGCCATAAGACTTGTTCCTTGGTTGTTCAGCTCATCATAAAGTTATTTTCAATACATATGAGTAGAATGCATCTGAAAGTATTCTCATATGTCACAGGGAACCTGAATATGTGAACTCTTAGTGTGGAGTTATATTTAAAAAATGCAATTTAAATTGTAACTGAATTGTTAATTAACATTGTTTGTTAATGAATAAAGAGTGACTTGACTTATGGTCTAATTTAATTTAGTTGTGTCATTATTATTATTATTTCATGGTAAGCAATCATGTATAGTGCTGTGCTTTCTGTTGATTTCTCAAAGCTGTTATGACAAAGGATATCACCTCACAACATAGCAGTGTATTTCATGTCAAATATATCTCTTTTAATTGTGATAAACAAAACCTCAAAAACATAGACTTAAAATTGTTCATATAGGCATAAAATTTTGGGTTCAGTTATTTTGAGTTAAACAATTCACTCACCATCTGTGTCAATAAGTAATAACTCATGTGACCAAATTAATAAGCTGATTTAAATTTTTTTGCACGAGATGAACAAAAGCCCCTCAATTGCCGGGATAATATGAAGTTTCTTCTATTCTTTGTTTTTCTGCTATATTAATTAAATTTCAATGGCTATGATAAGTCTACTGAATATTAGTAGTTTGTTCTAAATTAAAATCTTAGCAAATGATCTGGCAATGGTTATTTTAATGGTTTTTATGATGTGTAACATAAATATAAGCTTATTACCCTTAGAAAGTCCTCCCTGAAGGCATCTTTGCCCTTGAGCAGATAACATTCACGGGCTTTGCCTAATAAATTAAAATGAAATGTAATAGCTAATTTTTTTCAACTAATATGTTCAAACACTTTTCAAGAATTCTCTAACTTCCACTTTTTTCCCATGGTTATTTTTAATTAATTATCTAATTTTATGAAAGTAAATTAAGTAATTATAATTTTTAGTATTTCTGAAACTTTTTTATTAAAAACTAATATGCTTTGGAGATCATACAGAAATATCTTATCATAGTTGAAACATTTTAAGCATATTTAAAGAATTATTGTTTCCATTTATACATATTTTGCGTGTGTACAGGTTCGTTATGAAATGAATGCACAAGTCCGATGAAAAATGAACAAAAATTTATTATTATCACAACAAAAATGCTTAAATTTTCTCAAATTATCATGCAGTATTACAATATCTCACAGTAGTTATCTTTTAACTACTCAAATGTCCAATAGAACGTAATTCAAAACAGCTAAAGAACGCTAATCCGCGAATTCGCTACAATCAACAAGAGCAGTTTTCTAAGCAACTACTACAAACTGAGATGTTTTCCTCTTTTTATAAG